TTTCTTAGCTAAATCCCCTACCCCACCACTACGACAATAATATTCCTTAATTTGTGTCAGCTAAGATTCTAAAATGTGTTTTTTTTTCTCGAACAGTAATAAAACAACTTCCACTGTCTTAAATTTCTGCTATGTTCAACATGATGTCACACAGTAGGAAAATGAAATAAAAATAAAATGGTATATGGATACAGTGCTGTGCTATATTTACCTTTTTTCACTATGGTAGTACAGCTGTAACAAACATCAACAAGACAGTGAAAATGGAGAATTCCATTCTTACTACAGTACTATTGCACATACAACAACACATAGTATCTGCTCAGTTTGCAAACCGCAAAGGTTAATTCCTCTGAAAAAAATATAGCCATTTAATACTCTGAAACAAGAACAAGTACTTTACATTATTAAGTAAGGAACAAAGTTTAAGTTCCAAAGCATTTTTTCTCAAGTTTTAGTTTTTTCCACTGAACTTCAAAGCAAGCAAAAAAAAACACCATACACAATCTTCTGGTAATCAACCCTACGAAAGACAAACTCCAGTATGTTTTAATATTAAACTACTCAATTAACCATTTTATTGTGAGGCCTGAGAGTTTTTTTCAAAACTAATAATTTTTTATCTATTATATTTATTTAACTAATACTTATTTATCTGATTGCTTGAGACAAGACAGAATATTCTATCAGGTTCTAGAAATGAAAGTCTTTACAATGCTGCAAGGAAATTTTGATCCTTGATATTAAGACAAACATCTGCCTTTTTCCTCGTTTAAGTCTTACTGAGCAAAGGTCTGTGACAAACATGAATGTTAGGTCCCATGTTTCCGTACGCTGAATTTTACTAAATAATCACTAATTTTGTTATATAAGCACTCTGATGAGAAAAGAAACATTTTCGGAATTCTTTTCTTTTCCTTTTTCTCCTTTACAAAAAGCATCATATAAATAGATACATTTACAGCTGCATGTATACATTGCAAACTTAACATTTAATTGCAGTCCCATTTCAAACACCTGCTCTTTGGTGAAGCTAGCATTCATTTGCATGCATCTTCTTGACCAATGCAATGGCAAGATACTTTACAATACTTGCCAATGCAGCCAGAGGAAACTAAGGTTAGAGGAAGAAGCAGTAGAAAAACTGATATAATCATTTTATCATAATATATTATGAAAGAAAAGCTTATTTGTGTTTAAAACTGAGGACATTTTTGTTTACACAGAGGGATTATGGGCACCCGAAAGTCAATACTTTGACTTGAATAAAGAAACCCGACAGATGAGATCGTCGGATCTTTCGGCTGCTTACAACCAAGTAAGCTAGCTCCTTTGTGTTTGCAGGCTCCTTATTTTTATATCCCCTTGTGTCTTTTTTTCTCATCCGGGGGGGAGGGAAGGTGGAAGTCACATGCTCTCTAGTCCATTCAACACCACGGAAACCAGGATAAACTCTGGCCCAATGAGCCGTTGTGGCTTGGATATGGAAATTACTGTCTTTTTTAATGCAAAAAATCATTCAGGCACCCACTGAGAAACTGTTTCTTGTTTTGTAATGTAATAATTTGAATTGAAAGATGAATCTACTGGCATTTTATATTATAGCTCCCTTATCAAAGTAAATGTCTAGTGTTTCCTAATTCACCATAATGTTGGAAAGATCCTTAGATGTAAAATGTACAAAAACAGAGTGTTTATACTACAAGGTGGTTACAGTACAGTATTACTTACAGTTCTAATAGGACAAGCTATAAAACCTTCAGCTTTATTTACATGTAAACCTGACAGTTTCCTTAATCTTACTGGAGCCCTGAATCTTCCTTTGAAACATCCCACATGGCTGTTCCTCTATAACTGCCCAAAGATTTTGTTAATTACAGCAGATCACAAACACTAAAAAAAGCACATCAGCAAGAGGATTATTCACTTCTACAGGCTGATAACACTTTTGTAAAATAAAAGCTTATGGTTGACATAAACGGCACAAAAACCACACTGAACTGAAACTATCAAAGCATGCACATCTGTCTTGATAACTTTAGCCAAATGCTCTACTCAGTATAAAACTTGACAATTTTGTTCTGGCAGCTCTCTATATCAGCGGGTACCATTCTGGAAACATCACATAGGCGCTTTGTGTTACTGACAATGCTGACCAGAGCAGAAGTGATACACATGTCCTGTGCTAATGTTTAAAGAAACCATGTGTCTTGACAACAGTGAACAACCGATCTATCAAATCCTTTACAGTTTTTTTTAATATTCAGCCAATATAAAATGGAGTAAGAATCAGACAGAAAAACAGATTTTCAATAATTCCATTTTAACCTTCCTAAAAGATGCAACTTACCATGACTTTAACAATAATAGTTTTGAGTGAAACACAACAACAGGAGTGGTAAAATAACAAATTTGAAGTTATGCCTTTTACGTCTCTATGAAACATTGGAAGTACATCCTACAAAATAAATGGTTCTTTTTTGTTTGGGTTAAAATATTTTCATTGTCCTGCATTACAATAACAAATATAGTCTGTAGTGCTGTGACCCAATCATACAGTGTGTTTCCTAATATAAACATATACTTTCTGTATCCAGGAAAGATGCTGTTACACCCTTACCAAGCTGAACTGAATTGCTTAGGAAGCTGTTACTGAATTAACAATGCTGAGTCTTTAAAATCTTATAAAAAACATTTTGGAATATAAGTACAATATTTTAAATGGAACATTTCCTTATATTTATGTGAAGGTGACATCATGTAAACATTTTGACTGATATTATATTATTAATACAACATAATATTTAAACATTTTTTCTGCATAAAGGGTTTCACGGGGCAGTACGGCACATTTTCCTCCCTTATGAGATCCAATAATAAACAATAACTTCCTTCAGTCAATACCCCAAAATATGTATTATAAAGCATGGCTCAGGCAATGCAACGTCTTCTTGGCTTGTACACTATGTCTATTGGATGTTACTTTATTACCAATTTATTTGTTTCTTATCTCTAGTACTGTATATCTGTATAAAACAGGTTATGCCAAAATAATCACTAAACTAGTACTTGCTGTATACCAATCAAAAACAAACTAGTTCACTTGCCACACACTGTGCAAATTTCCTTAATTAATATCAATAGTAATAATAATGCATTTTATTAATAACTAATTTTGAAAAAAACTCAGTGCTGTACAATAGCATACACAGTACACTAGACAAAATTTAAAAGAGTAAGAGAAAAAATAATACAGTAAATTGAAAAGGTAACACTGTATTATAGGCTATAGCAGAAGCCGAAATGAAAAGCCATTTTTAGACTGTTTTAAAAATGGCGGCAGTCTCAGTCTCTATAATTGATTTGGGCTTGAGTTCTTAGATATGGTGCTCCACTGTGTGGAGCCTATTCTTTAGTAGACTATAATGCAATTAGGCTTTAAAACAACCTGAAGCTAGATCATTCAGTGTATTTCCTGAGCTCAAGAAACTCAAAGTCCATCTAATTTGCACAGGAAGCCAGTACATACAGAGCGCATAGGATGGGAAGTGCCAGCTGAAAGAGATTATTCTTAATCAGCACGTGGCTGGACATAAGGAATCCTATTTAGAAGCTTAGTGTATACCCCAGAAAAAAATGTGCTACTTTAAGTCTAGTTTTGATGAAATAAAGGTATGTATCAATAATTTAGCATTAGATAGAGCAAGGACCTTAACCGATCAATGTTACACAGACTGAAAATGATACCCTTGCACTTTTATTTTTCTTTTCAAGCTTTACAGATGCAAATTGGTCAAAAACCATGTCACACTGCTGTTTCTAGTTGCTTGAATAAGCATTAAATCTTCCTCCACTAAATTCCTAAACCTTCTGACATTCATTAGACAGTAAAGCTGCAGATCTTTAATTAAAAATCTCAATGTGTTTTAAGGGCAATAAAGAAACTTCAAACAAGTTATACTATTTAAAAAAAAACGAGTCATCAATTCCTTCCACTGATGACTCCATCTTCATAGCTTCGGCTGCATACTAATTTTAGATCTCATGTTTAGATGTTCTCCGTTTCATATATTCAGCAGCTGTAACAGGGTCTTCTGGGTCTGTAACTTGTTTGTGCTTCACTGTCACAGCCAGGACTCATTCAGATGACACTACACAAATACCAAAAGCAAATAAATATTGCAAAATGGTTCCCCCGTGGATCACTGCTTGACGACCAGAGCCATGAAATATTGTAGTATGTGCTTTGGAACACTTTGGCTGAAAACCTTTGGCAATGAGGTAGTGCAGTAATTACAGAAATTATCCCTCACAATTTATAGACTCTTAGCCCAAAGAAATGTCTGACTCTTTGCAGTTCTAAAAAGCTAAATTAAAAACCTACCCTTCTGACATAACCTGATTTTTGATCTCTTTCCTCTGTGCAGTCTTATACCTCTTCTCTGAAGCCATTTGTGCTGCGTAATACATATTAAGTGTTGACTATTTGTTTAAAAGCCTAGAAGCAGGCTAGTTTAGGCAGTGCACTGTTGGGATTGATCTTGTACTATTACCCTAAGGCTGCCTATCTACTTGTCCAAACAGGTACAGGAGAACTGCTGTGGTTAGGTCTCAGTTCTCACTGGGATGAGAGCTCGCTGCAGCGCCTCATGATCATTACTATGGAGAAGATGGGTGCCGCTAGCAATATGAAGCCACAAAATCCCAGAGCACTGATCTCCCATGATATGATTAATGAAGGGCGATTATGTTTACTGTCAGACTCATACCACTCTGCTTTTTAGATGCTTTATATGCTTCAAAAGCTTCTGTTACTCATCTAAAACAAAAACAAACTCAGAATTAAAAGCAGTCTTTTATATCTGATACACTCATCTGTATCTGGAACACTCAACTTTGTGGAAAACCCAAAAGTTCTATATACACTTAATATTAAATCTTAAATCTAAGACAAGTGTTTTGTCTCAAGAAATCCTGCAAATGGAATGAAAAAATCTTACCTTGAGCTGGGTCAGGTGGTCCAAATTCCAGGGTATACCTCAATATGTAATAATTATTCCACACGTAAAGCTGATTGTCTCTCGGATTGTAATCCACTGCAGCAATGTACCGGTATTGGTTAGGGAATGGAATATCCACAAACTCCCCTCGGTTTTGCTTGGTGTTATACACATAATCAATCAGACTCTTGCTCACTTCACTCTCGTTCCCTACATACGTGGAACGCACCACATACAGAACCCCACAGATCATGAAGGCGTTGGAAGCAGACCGTTTGTCATACGTCGTCTCCCAGGTAGCCTCAAAGCGTAGGGTGTAAGGGTTCAGCTGGCTGATGACTATCATTCCGTTGTTCTGCTCCGTGGCATAAATCACCCACAAGCCGTTCTCATCTACAGCCAGATCAATGTCCGTTTTCCCACCCCACTTGTAGGGTGAGGTGTCATGGTAGTTGGCGTTGTTGATGATCGCCTCCCCGCTTTTGATCCTAGTTCTCAGGTCAAACTTTACAATGTTTCGGGTCCTTTCCTTGTTGAAAAACACAGCGCCATCGTACACCACAAATCCAGTACCGTCCACTCGGTGGGGGAGCTTGTATGTGGTGGTTTGACGCCCATTCTGGAAGTCATCCAGTGAAGAGTACTCTATTAACGTGTCTGTACGATAAGGAGTCCAGGGCATGAAGTAAATTTTGTCACCCGCCTGCAGGGGGTCTTTGCACCAAGCGCCTCCTTGTTGCTCCGCCTCATAGAGAAAGGAAGAATCCGCGACAGCTTTCAGAGTCCCAGGACAAACAAAAACTAGTAATGGGGGAGAGTAAAAGAAGAAAATAATTTAAGTAAGCAACATAAAACAAACAAACACAGAAGGTATCAGTACAGATCACTTAGGATTCTATTTCTGACACTGCCTTGGTAAGGGGTTGCCCAAGAAAAGAGTGGGAAACAAAGCATACTTTTTGTGGCCGTTACTCTATAATTACATGATAAACTCAGAAGTTTACTGCATACAGGAGAAGAACAACACAGTCATTGTATTAGAAAACATTTGTTCTGGACATTTTTCTTCAGTAACCGTAGAATATTACCTTTTGGTTATATGTATTGAATTTTGGAATGAAATAAAACAAAAAGTAAAAAATAAATGAAGACAACCAAACCAACTCTCTTTCTGCGAATGAACAGCACTATAGGCAAGGAAAAACAAAAAGTTTGAAGAGCAGGATTCACGACCCGCTCACAAAACACTGATATTGATGCCAGCTTTTTTCTGGCATCCTTAATTCTTGTCATTTAGATATAAGAGAAGTGTCTTTTTTTAATTTATGGTTGAAAAATAAACTACATTAAAAAGTCAAAAACAGTACACATTTGTGTAAGCTACCTACTCAAGGAAGTGAAACTAGTTTTATTCTAAAACAAGGGATAGGGGTGGAAGGCAGTAAACGGGAAAGGAAAAAAAAAACAGTTGAAGCAGTGAGTTCAGAAGGCCAAGTAACCCTGTTACCATGACATGCTATGGAGAGGGTTTTGGAAGCCAGGCAAAATGGGATTCTACTAGCACAAGAAAGCACCCAAGGGTATGGAAAAGGAACCTCTAGGCACTCCAGTGACTACACCCCACAACCTTCTTAAAGCTGCAAGTTTCTTAAGATTTAACTATTAGTAATCTTACTACTGTTACAGATTATTGACCTGCACAGTCATTATGGACTATTTTTCTACTGCCTGCTAGGATCAGAACACCAGAGTGGGGGTAGGAAGGTTAACAACCATATGCCACAAAACAAGGAGCTAGGGTTTGGATTGTGTCAGTTATTTACCTTTTTGCTCCACTTCTATTTTAAGCGTTGGAAGAGAGAATGAAAAGGGAGTGCAAGGAAAAAAAAGAGATTAACATGAATTAACTATCAACTCTAAGGTTACAAACGCAGTAACAAATGTTATGAGACAAGGACTAAGAGAGGCAGACCTAATTTGGGAAGGGAAAAAAAGAGAAAGAAGGTGAACATCAGTAACAGCAGGTAACCCTGGCATGAAAAAAGGGTCGGGTTAAGAGACAGAGGTTTAAAAGGACAATACAAAGTGGCACCTTTTAAAAGCTTTAGGCTAATATGTAAGGTAAAGATAGACAGGAGGTGACACAACAGGCCATTATAAGATTTTAAAAGTGCTTTTCATCTCTTAAAGAAAAGGTTAGGGCTGTTAAGCCAATCCACGACAGTGCATTGTCCCTTTAAAACCACTGGGATTACCGAACACACGTCACACACACCTCAAACACAATATCTAAAAACTTTAGATGTAGATTATAAAAGTTGATATGTGCAGAAAACCCCATGTGTTGTACATAACAAAATCTTAAAAACCCATGCTTTAACAAAGATACAATAAATCCATTATAAAATGAAAAAAATACCTTGTTTCTGGCAATGATACATTTAGTTATACTGCCTGCATCTAATCAATCAATTCATTTATCTCTCTATGCATATACAAAAATTGAAACAGCAGAACATTAAACTTTTAAACAGCCACTGTTTTTTTATTATTATTGTCATTAATAATGTATCCTTATTTTACATATATATTTATGTTGCTGTCTATATATGATATATTCAGCAATGACCCTGGATGGCATAATTGAATATGTCTCAACAACTGAACATCAATGACTTCCAGAAGATTACTTTCGTGAGTCATTATGTGTGACCTTTTTCTTTAGCGTTGAGAAGTATAGTGTGTGTTTTGAATCTGAAAACAGTGAAGATTTAAAGAGAAATGGTAACACAAAATGGTGGTAGCATGTGTTATATTTAAGGAAAGTGAACCTTTTCCTGAATAGAGAAACTACGATGAAGGACTGTACTAACACTTAACTACGGTAGGTCTGTTTACAGTCACCAAATTCAAAATCCATGAGAGCTGACCAGTGAGAAGAAAATACTATTCTGTTGACTTTAAATAAAGTATTCTGAGTAAATAAAGGACTATAGATAACAGTTGCTGTTATAATGATCCTGAGATAAAAAGCACTGAAGAATGTTATTTAATTGCAAGCTACCTGTGCATCATTTAAGAAACATCTAGTTTTCTAAAAGATGTTTTTTAACACTTACCACCCACTTACACTTATGAATATTCCAAAATAGGAGTACTGCACATTAAAATAAGCACACATGCATCCAAACATTCAATAGCTACAGTACGTCAACATTTCTATCCAGTGTGACCCATTAGATATTAGATAACTGTGACTTGTTATCATTGTTTTAATATCATGTTATCAGTTTCCATCCTTTAAAAGAAAGACCAAATAAAACTGCCTTCTAGATTAATTGCAAAAACAATCACAAGAAATGTCAGCAAGACTTTAATACAATCTTAATAATGCAACCTTATCAAAGCATTGAATAAAAGACTGACATCTAAAAAAATTGCAATTAACTGTGATTCTGTACTGTTGTGCTCATGATGTGTTTATTGTCGCATGTTAAAAAGGGGAATAAAGGCGATTTAAACACTAATTGCTTATAGCCCTTTAGGTTAAAGTCATCATAAATATACCCACCAATGTTTTAACAATGAAGCAGTTTACTGTCATCATAAAAAAATGCAGTATAAGTTCATGTTTTGGAATTATTACAATAAAAGTAATTCAAATAAAGTAAGGAAAATTACACTGAATGCTTAATTTACTGCCAGATTCCATTTCAGGTCAAGTATTGCTTAATATGAAATGTACATATTATTCCCAATTGTTATCTTGTTTCTACCTTTCATAAATCAACCACATTATCTGTATTGTTTTTTGTGAATACACATTCACAACTATTGTTAACAATTACTAGGAGCCAACAGACAACAGATACTTTTCTGTCACATTTTCATAATGTTGCAGAACTGGGTGCACAAAGAAAGAAGATTATCAAGAAATGGTTTTAACCTGTTGAGAATCTGTTAGCTTGAGGAATTTAATAAGGTATTGCTTTTGGTGATGCCTATTTGAATAAGAGGAGATATAGTGACATGACTTCAGATTTAAATTAGCCACAGTCAAAGACAATTAAAGATGTGTTTGCATGTGATACTATTACAGTTCATCCCATTTAAACAAATGTTCAAGGAAACTGTGTCAATCCTAAAACATTTAAAAATGTATGTCCTTAGCTACTATCATTATTTTATTAAGTATACTAACGGGGAAATTAGGGGGAAAAAATGTCCCTGATCTATCCAATGTGATGTTCAATATCCAAAAAAATATCTAAATCAGTTTCCAATTTTACTCAAAACAATATGGAGATACAGACAAAATGTTTGTGTAATAGTGTTCAGTAATGAAGGGGTGGATTTTCAACACTAAGATAAATAAGTGAATAATACATTTTCAACATGCTTAATTTTTGAAGCAGTTCACACAATAAAAGCTGTGTGTACTTTCACAGTAATAAAAACTAAAAAATAATTTAATTTAAAATAAAACTATTGGCTTCATCTTAAAAAATGCAACAGCTATTATAATTTGTTATGGGGGTGCAACATAAATCATATTTGCTCAAAGCAAGATCGATTAAAATCAGATACACTATTGAACAGTATTCTTGCTAGTGGCCCTAAGAAGAGGTCCTCTGTGCACAGCACAGCTACATCATCAAAATGTGCCACGAAAGCGCCTGGTATTTACTACAGACCAATCCTTGATAATTACAGATGCTCTGTAATAACTATAGTCATTGAATAACTGGCAAAAGAAGTGGATTTTTCATGTGTCATCTACATCAAATTCAAAACATTAAATGTACAAAACTGTGTAAATTGACATGATCATGCATTTTTATATGAAGTATGTTTCAAAGAAGGTGCTTATCTGTATTCTGTATAAATTCAGGCAACTGGTAAAAAAATAAAAACATTTTTAGCAGGTCTGTTCAAAGAAATTATTAGGCAAAACTCAAAAATGAGTGTTTCAGATACTGTGCCAAATCTAAGTGAAGAATGTGATGCTAAAGACAGTATACAAGCATTAATAAGAAAATAGGCATAGGTTATTCAATGGTCATAAATCAATGATAGACGCTCCACAAAAGAAAAAAAAAACAGGCAATTTAATCAGTTAAGCCCAAATCTGTATTTTGTTTTCTTAGGTAGCTGAGGAGCTTTTGGTATAGAAAAAAAAAATAGTGGGGAAAAAATAAGTGTCCACAGACTAACACAAGACATAGCATCAACCACTGGGAGTGTGATGAGAACACTTCCAATAAAATGAAACTGACTGGGTGTGTTACACAGAAAAGTTTCTTTTCAAGCAAAGCCGGGATATAAGACAAATAAGCACAAACTACTATTTTGGCTTGCTTTACTGTGCTCACAGCTAACAACATAACTCTTTTAGCCTGAATGTATACGAAAAACAAATAAGCAGCTTTTTTGCTTTTTCTATGGAACAAATTAAATGTAACATTATAATAATTTTCAAAATCATTGAGAAAACTCTTAGTGCTATGTGCATCGAGGTCATCTTACCATTAAGTCCTTTAAACAATCAAAGATTTACAAAATCTTTTTCTGCTCTTGAACTGCTGTTTTGCATGTATAATATTCGTGTAACTTGATACTATGCTAAAGCTCTCAGTGACATAGGATCACCAGGTGTATCTGATGGTGAAAAAAGAACCACATATGCTACTTTCAGACATGTAAAGTGCATTTAAGCATGCTCAGTGGAAGGTCAGGTTAAACAGTGAACTGCATTCTTGTAGCCTATGAAACCAAACACAGAACAAATTAATTAAGAAACCGCAGAGATATCAGGAGCAGCCAAAGAGAAGGAGAAAAAAATCTGGAAAGGAAAGACATAAGACCGTTGACCTGAGTCTTAGGTATTATTAAGTATCAAAGCAGTCATCAGTTTCTAGACACAAGAGGTACAGTAAAAGTGTCAGGCACTGGTTGATTCCTGCAGATTGTACAAGGAAAGAAAAGAGTGAAACATTTAATGAACAACATTCACACATACAAAAGAACAACCCCTCCCCATTCCCCATCCCCCATCCTCAAAACTAAAAACTCTTTAACTCGGTTCTATTTAAGTTAAGGCCTTAAAAAAGACATTGACAGCATATCAAGAAAAGGGCCATTTTGTCATCTAATGAGAATGATATTATTGTTTTAAAGACAGTTAATGGTGTTTGCTTCTTCATGTTGCCAACTCAAACTATTAATTTGTGTCTTTTGACCCCAAATCTCACAGAAGACCATGGACAGGAAGAGTATGTGTTTGTTTAAAGGAAGCACAGCACTAATTACACTGAGAGTTGTCTGGTGTCCTACCTCGCATACTGTATGTATATACCTGTGTAGTAACTGGTGGACTGGCAACAGTCCATTGCCCCAAGCTAGTGAGTTTCTCGCACTGGCCTAAGGTGGCTGCAGGGCAGACTCAATCAGCAGCTCAAACACACACAAGTGGTTTGTTATTTTGGAGCTTAATAGACAGCTGGGCAGGAATTCAATTGGCAAATAATGTCACCATGAGTCAACATGAGTATTTAATGTCAAAACTAAAGGAGCAAATAAGTGGGAGAAAAAAAAGGCTCTTGTTTGAATAGGCATTGATTAACGCTTAGTTACAAACACTGTGCTGAAGCCTTCCATTTAGTTTTTTTGAAGGAAATACCAGTCCATATAAAGTGCACCAAGGGAACAATGGCACACGGCACAATACATGGAAATAAAAAATAGCTGCTGGACCAGGAAGTTTGTTAGCATGCCATCTATATCTATGCTATAGAATACTATAGCAAAATCCTAAAAAAACAAGAAATGTGTAATAAATTTTCTTAAACTAGACTGTCCACAATTAACAAAATATTTAATATTTAGTTCTGTTTTAAAAGGTGATCATAACGATGATAGTTAGGCTTTTCTTTCTTTCTTATTTTTAAGATTCACTTAAAAAGCCCTTCAGAAACCCTCAGGAAGCACATTTAGCTGAAAATGACTAAGCGGACTTGTGGGTGCAGGTGGTAGCAAAACTTCTGAACTATATCAGAACTTTCAGCAAGCAAGGGGTAAGAGCGGAGAGCAGATATTCTCTGACACAACTTATGTATTCAGAGCAAAGCCTCCTAAACAAGAAGCAGTTTAGTGCTCCTGGCAAAAGAGAAAATAATTTGTTGCTGTATGTGGAAAATTCAAGTCTTTGTAAAGGTAATTCTTCCAGGCAGTGAAAAGAATAATAGATATGTCTTATGTTCTATATAAAAGTAACGAAGATATGTGGATTTCTGAGGTGATGTACTACAAAACCGTAGTCAATTCTTTTGTCCTGGTATTCTGGGCGTCCTTTGCCGTGAATTGCCTCGGTAATTGCTCCTTAGTTTGGAAGCTGAACAGCATGAGTTTGATCGATCTTGGCTTTACCCTGGAGACAAGGATGGCTCCAAGTGGCCTGTGGCCCCTCTCGATAACAACGGAGTAGAAGAGCTTTTCAGTATCAAAAAAGTGGTTCTAGCAATGTTAAGCTAAAAGCATTTAAGTAACTTTTGTTTTTTGAGGTACTGATATTGGGACAGTCAAGGTTATTAGTTTATATCCATATTTGTGAATGAAATGGTATTTGTCATATTTTCTAAGCAATGTGTAGAAAAGTTAGCTTTATACCAATTATAAGCAATGAACTGCTAATATCTCTTACAGTGCTTTTAATCCTAAATTCAATTTAGTTTTTTGCTATATTCATTTAATTTACTGCATTTATTAGTACATTCCAAGTCTGATACAACATTTCATATGTGCGCAAGCAAGTGTGAATCTGAACCAGAAGAAAAAATGAACTTGGAGGTCAAGGGCTTGATTTGCAAATAGAGTCAATTTGCAACTGCAAGCCATCAAATACAGAAAAAAAAACAAACAAACAGGATAGACTTACAGTTGTGGCAACACAAGAAAAAAACAAATTCTAATAATTCTGAATGGATGTTCTCTTTGTTCTAGAAGCTTCTATTAAACTGGTAAGAAAAAAAGTGTGCAGAGTAAAAAGTAAACAAAGCACCACATTCCAAATGAAAGTAATTCATATGAAAACATTTCTCTAAGTCAAATGTGCAATTATTTTTAAAAATCAAATAGCTAGCACTACACAGATGTCACTGATGTGTTTTCTGAAACATCCAAATTGCATCTGTGTATGTTGTGAGACTACTTTATACCTTGTCACCACCAGAAACATGATTGTGCTCAAGAGTATTTTAAGGCTTTACATTTGTCCAAAACCAAAAGGCTTTGCTGACTGGCAGAGTAACAAATTAACCATTTGTCCATAGCTGGAAGGAGGTAAAAATATTGATCAAATTTACAGGTTTAATGGTGACATGTTGGCCAATTAAATATAAATTAGAAATTGCATTTATGAGTAACACTCTTACAACTTTTAAATTGTAGCATTACAGGACTTCATAACTATGGATTCTTTTCACATCTAATATGTATTGTAATTCCAAAAAATTAGTGATGATACACATTCATATTTTGAGCCAAGATCATAAAGTGTTTAGAAAATCTTTTTTCCCCACTGTTAAAAAATTATGTTTAAAAACCTTTTATGGAGTCAGAAGTAGAATCGAGGAGTTAGGAATAACAGTGGAAACACTTTTGCCTGGCCCATAAGCCACTGTATAAATTAAACATAAACCAGTGACAGGTTTATTCCACGCTGAAAAGAGAAGAAAGAAAACAAAACGTTTCGGCTGTGCAGTCCAGAGCCAAAACGTTGTGTTCTCTTTCAAGCCTGGAATAAACCAAGTTCTTGTTCCTTTGCAGCCTAAGCATGCTGAGGCAGCTACCCGCTTAAACATAAACCACTCCATAAACCATTTTTGTTTTTTGGTTTCTGCCCAAAATATAAATGTCTTTTAACTGTATAACCTAAAACCTAAGAAGAAAAGAGTTCATTCTATGAACAACACTGTAAGCATCCCAACTCAGGGGTGAAGAAAATAAAGAGCCAGTAAAAGACTAGAAGCCAAGTTCCTGCATATACAAGAAAATATGCTTGCAGGGAGATGGCTTGGTTCATTATTATCCTTTTAAATACATACCAATAAACCCTGCCAGCAAGAGGATTAGCTGGAGTAATAGGAAGGTGCTTTTTTAATGTACTGGCAGCTGTGTGAAAGAAAACTAACCCTAACAGCAGGTAGCTTTTCAACCTGCACATGATCAAAATTAAGGTTGATTTGTCCTATAAACTAAACGTAGGCCAAAACAATTTGTAAGCAGCTGGTACCAGGCATCAGTACAACTTCCCATCCATCACCCTGAATACCAAATTTGGGACTTCAGTAGAGGGATAAAGTACCAATCTTAACAAAGAAAATAAGTGAGTGAAAAAAAAATCGATAAAGCTCACAGTCAGCATCAATCTATGGCTCCTGTCCAGATTTAAAAAAAAAATGTATATAAAGAATCTTTGACAGCAAATGGATATCCAGGACCCTGAGTGATCCAGGAATGCTCTTGACAAGTTTTCCATTTTTCTCTTAATAGAGGGTTTGTTGAGCAAGGAAAGTGTACAATGTATCAGGCAATGTTTAAGCAGAGTTTTAAAATACACATTACAGAAGGTGTCATTCACATGTTTTTTGATGAAAGCAGAGTGAGAAAGGACAAAATGTACATTTGTATATCCATCTTCTGCTACATTACCGAAAGGTTTGGATCACTAAAGCTCCAAAGAATCCATATGCCCAGCATGCACAATTTACTGGAGGAAACGCAGTGCACAAACATCACAATCTCCCTGTCTTCTAATAAAAAAAGAGGCTCCAATGAAGTTCTATACTTACTGTAGGGAACACATTCATACTGGACCTCTAGGTATTTGTATGTCCCCGGACAGGGGTCAGGGAAGACGTCTGACCCAGTAATCACAACACACTGTGTTCGATTGTTGCACCTGCAACGAGAGAGAGAGAAGGGCAAGATAATTAATTTAAACCTGGACATTAATTTCAAAGTTAACACAGCTTTAAAATAATACACTGCCGCCTCTTTTCTACACTTGACTTGTAACAATCAATAAAGTGACACACTTAATTAATATTACATTAATCAATATTTCCAAACAAAACTGTGGCAAACAAAAACTCTGCTATATTGCTGTAACTGTGAACAATTTCCAAGTGAGAGACAATGGGTTTTAGAAGGGGCCAGAGTGAATGATTGTGATAAGTGCTTTTTAACTAGAAGTGTGAATCTGTGATATTGATGTGGACCGTTTAAATAAAGTGACAAAGATGAACAGTGAGGTACTCAATCTGACAGATAGGAATAACAAATTCACAAAGAATGCTTTACATTAATGAACAACAGAACTGTTCTATTCCACTGTTTGAAGTTGCTATTTTACTTAATGATCCAAACGTACTTCATTGAGGTCAAATATGTTTCGACAAGAGGCATAATTTGAGCCCTTTCAGTAGTTGAGGGAATTATTTTTTATATTTCAGAATGACCTTGGGCACCATGCACTAGTGTTGTAGTAACTGTACCTCCCCATTCTCTCTCAAAACATGATGAAATTGGAACCACTTCAGTCTTACTTTATCTGAGCTGAAGAGTGGATGAGACTGTAGCAGTGGAGAACAGATATCCATCAGAATGAAAATAAAATCACTTTAAACAACTTCCATTCTGGTGATTAATATTTAAGAAGGTTAAATACAATGACAGGCAATTTAAAATACCTACACGACCTTAACACTGCAATAAATTTGTCATTTGCAGACAAAGACAGTAATTTACAACAGAATTATTACACATGTAAATTAATTATTTCATTGTAAAAGCCATGCCTGATTTAATTACAAATTGTGCTTGTGTACAGGATGACTGCCTGATTAGAGAAAACTGTCTCCTAGTTTGTTTTTGTTTGTCAGAGTTCTTCCATTAGGGGGGAATATTCCCACATGAGTATTCTCACAGAGGTGTCGGAGCTCGAGAAGATTGTTCAGTGTATTTAAATGAATCACCTGATGTTGTTCGAAAATGCACTCACAGTGAGATATGTTTTTCTTTGAACTGCTGAGGTAGAATTGTGTTAACCCTTAATTCTACTACATTTTCAAAATACTCTGGCTTTTTCTCACAACAAGAGATAATGAATGATATTATAATGCTATGGCTGACCTAGTTTTGGGAGAGTGTATTGGCAGCTTTGCACTTTGTTCACAGAAAAGAAAGCAACACCAGGAAAGAAGACGACAAAATAAATTAATCTAGACCAGTACCATGCCTACAACTCCCTTTTCAGACCTTTGTTTTACATCTGGAGGCACATGTCGAATGTGTTACCAATATGGAGCCCTGTGAATTGAATCTGGTCCCTTCACTGCTCTCTGGTAGTCATAATTACAGCTTACAAAGTGCATCATGTCAAGATAAGACTATATGTGTAATCTATAGCAAGAAGTGTTCTTAATCAATGGCTTTGTTGTGCATTTTTAACAGTGACTTCTGTTTTGGGAAGATAACATTTGTTTCTCTTGTCAAGCACCAAAAAAAAATAAAAATAAAAAAGCTAAGCATTTGGGATTTTCTGCAGATCATTAGATATGCTACAATAAAGGTCTTTTTTTCTTTTTTAAATTACTTCTTCACTGTCCCATCATTCCTTGTCAATGGTAGCATCACATTATTACTAGTGGTCCCATGAAACTTGTACTACAGCAATGTCTTCAGGCCACAGGATGCCATTTCCAATTGAGGCTTCAGTTTGAAAATATAAATTAAGAAAATTTCATTATCTCCTGCCAAGGGCCATTATTCACTACTGTTCTAAAGAAGATTAAAATGCAAACTCTACTGACTTGAACAAATACCCCTGCATTAAAATGAAAAGGCCAGTATATCATGACAGCAGTGAGAAGCTGAAATAGCCTAGAGAATTTTCAGACCAGACCTTAAGGCAATTAATCTTTTTTTCTTAAAAAATCAAGCAAGCACCAAAATATAATCAAATAAAATATTTGATTTTCTTAACGGAATATTCCATAACTGTGCAAGTCAACTTAGCATTCTTCCTCCTATTGTTTTCTGATAGTTGGAATGGTTTTCTTTACACGAGCGCAGGTGTGTTTATGTTACAGACTGCAGCGTGTTCTAGAAAGAGAAAAAAACGGCCACAAATGGGGAAAAGAAGGATTTGGCTTTTTAAAATCTTAAAATAAGAAAGGGAAAATACTCTAAACAATGACACAAAACACAACCGCATTCATATATACCAAGCACTTGGTTTCACCCTTGGACACTTAACATACAGTGTCTCTTGGATTTTCAACAGAGTAAAGAAGGTAGCTGAAAAGGAAATCCACTGGATTAGAAACTGCCTTTTGTGAAAACAGATGACAAAAGAAATGTATTTATGAAACAGGCACAGAAAAACAACTGGTTAGAAATGACAAATGTTTCCAGCTGCACCCACAATGCCTTTCACAAAGAATCAAAGCTATGCAAAACTAAGCAATTTTCTTGTAATTGTATTTCATAAGACTCTACATTATTACTTGTCTCACTGCATATATTTTACAACGGCATTTATTTTATGCATATTTTATGTCATTTACTGTAATCAAACTCTACTGGAAGCCAACTTAAATCCTGCCCATATTGCAAGGCTATTACACTGTCCTGTTTGAACAAGTTCACAAATAGCACTAAAAATACCATTTAAAGCAAACTGTATTGTATTTTGAAGCCAACAGGTCTTCAAATACAGCAAGAGAAAATTCAGAATCTTAAGTTGAGTTTTATTTGTGTTAGTCTTATTAGTACTGCACTATTACTTTTTATTTAAAAAAAAATAACTTTATCTTAAACAAAGTTATCCCTTTGAGTTAAAATGATCTTAACAAATGTAGAGTATAGTGCCTAATTGCTTCCTAATTGCTTTTGATTTTAAATACAACTTATTTGGGTTTGGGATTTATGTATTATATACATTACATGAAATATTATTAAAAATGTTGTTGACATACAATATAAACATATTAAATATGTTCGCTATTTAAGTCCATCAAAAGCCTTCACAGACAATTATTTATGGAGATTATTTTTAATTAACTTATGCTACATTTTGCATCTTAAACTTTTTCATAATATGTTCAATGTCACAGAGCAGAAGTATACTGTATGGCACTTGTTGATGATGTTTTTCATCTCTTTGCAAACTTTTTTTTAACCAAACTGCTGTTCCTCTCATTTGTTTATTTATTTAATGTCCCTTTGCCTTTTTCTTTTCATAAGTTGTTTTATCATAACATTAATTATCCTCTCAGAGAATCCAAGTAATGCAAACCCATATCCAAAAAGATTTTTATGGTGAAAAATAAAAAATAATTTGGTTCCCTAAGATTTTCCATCACAAGAGCTCTTTCTCAGAATCTTTTGAATACATAGAGTCACAATGGCTCATTTGTAAGCTCTGAAAGTCTCACGAACAAATGAAAGCAAAAAAAACAGAATTAGTTCGGATACCTAAATCATATCTTGCTTCAATAAACTACAGTCTGCCCATAAAACATATACATAAAGCTTTTTACTCAAAAAATGTTTTAGGAACTTATCTTCAAAGAATAAATTGTGCATTTTCATCTTTATTACCGATTAGGAAAAAAATAAACCATATGCTGTTAGAAGGTAACTGAAATACAACCTGATTAAAACTGTCCTTCTCTTTTAAGGAAAAGTGTTTGTGTTGGGAATGGCATTTTCATGATTAATGAGATATGTTTTGTGATATCACAAACAAATTCACAAGCTCATCCTGAATGAACATTGTCCTATTTTTCAGAAGTATGCAGCTACCAATGAATGTATGCATATGCAAAAATCTTTAAAACACATTCTTAAAATGGTAGTATTTGAATTTGGCAAATGTATTCTTGCACGTATCAAACTTATCTATAAATAAAAAAATGAACAAAATAATTTGTTGGCTAGAGATAATTTATAGTTTTTTTAGAACTTTGTCAGTAACCTTGAAAAATTTACCACGTGCTTTGGAAGAGGACTTGAGGACTTGAGAAAACAAAACAAATTAAAGAGTCCTAGGGTTCTGTTGACTTCTGTTGAAATGGTTGATTTCAGTACTTTGTTTCCCAAAATCTGAATTCTTCTTATAATCACAGCAAAAGATGCATAATCTAATCCCATCTCGCAGCTTACCCTTTCAGGAGTTTCATATGCCTGCACAATTAAAATCATGGTGTTAGCTCAATTTAATACTGCAGGAGATTTGATGCAAATCTGCTATTGAAATCAGGCTGACAGCAGGAAGTGCCCGATAAGAAATCAACGAGGCATTACTGATGGCATTTATGATAACAGGAACATGGGCTACACATGTATTTAGTACTGAACAACTGACTCATTTTAGAAAATTTACAACGTTTTACATATTTTTTTCTAACATCTTAAGTTAAGAAATTGATACCAAGTTGATACCAAGAAATAATGCATACAAACAATTCTTGCAACTAAGAAAACAGTAAAATGTCTTTACATCCTAAAAGGACTCATTTTTGTTCAGCTGTCATTAGTTGGGCCCCTGAAACATTATACATATTTAGCTGTCTGGTTTTCCAACAAAGCAATTTACACCTTAATTAACATGCTGCTGAGAATTAGTAATGGGTGACATAAATGACATATGAGTTTAATGTTACTTAATGCTCTGCATGGGGAATTAAAACTATCATTGACACAGAACTGTGATGCACTGTAATTGTGACGTTGTCGTACAATAAAAAAGCAATATCAAAATCCAGGTTTAAGGTTGCATTTTTTTACATTTAAAGCAAGTGCAGAAATATCAAAGGATACAAACTGGTAGATATGAATGGGCAACATTCCTCTGATGCTAGGCAGATTAACATAAAGCATATCAGTTAAAATAAA